ACACATGAAGGGTATCATGAAATTACCACGTTCATCATGGGCTATTTGTCGGCATCCGGTGTTGCAGCACTTCACGCAGCGCTCGAACTCCAGCCCTCCGAATCGGTCCGCAGACACTTTCTGCATCCTTTGAGAGACGTCGACCCGACAATGCAAATATTTCAGTCCTGGTTCCGTGACGACTGCTATATTTTCATGATTGGCCCGGACACTTTATTATTGAAGGAACGCATTCAGAACCCCGAGGCTTACTATCAGCATTACCACCCCCGGAAGCCTCAACTAGAAGCATGGATTGTCGGAATACCCCCTACATCCCAATCCAATTACCGTGCACGTGCCGAACGGGTAACTAGGCTCAAAAAAAGAATGTCTAACAAACGCAAGGATATGAAAGCTAGAGCAAAAGCGTTAATTGCTCTCGACAAGATCCTTCTGCACAGTCTCAGACAGTGCATGTGCCTCTACGACCGCGAAGGACCTGATGCCAACACATTTGCTGGAGACAGTATCCAGGCCAAGTACTTTGACCTTATCCATTGCAGTGACACATCCCTCGGAGACCCAGTCGGACTAAGCATTTTGGGAACGAAATTTCGCCTCCCTTGGCATATCAAAAGGGCTGTATCGCTAGGGGATCATTGGGCACCAAAAGATGGCATGCCGTATATCGATCTAGCTGACCCGTTGCGCCCCCAATACGCAACTGCCAATTGCACATACTGGGGATCCCCACGCAAGAATAAGAATTATGGAGATAGGGATGCTGCTCTTGTATTCAACTGGCCCTATTCACCGGATATCGATGAACGTTGGATGGTTACTATTCCAACGAATGTTTTCAGAGAGTGACTCTTCTGACTAGCGCGTTCGCTTTGCTTGATCACTGTTTTTGCCTGTTTGATTTTGTTGTACGTTCCCTGGCAATAAAACAAAAATTCTACGAGCATGTAGTCTAAAATACATATCCAGGCTTGCTAACTTCGGCAACGTCCGCAAATGCCAGCCATCGGATCTGGTACGGTAAGTAGGATCATGGAGAGATCTGGATGATTCTACGAGGCCAATTCAATGGGCAGCCAACCGCACCGATCGCCTCTTCACCTCATGAACGAAGGTAACATCCTGCCTTCAGAGTAAATCGTCCGCAAACACCCGCTAATATGATTCGCATCGTCCAGTTCAGTGGGGCAGTCGAAAGATCCATAGCGCCACCAGGCTATCCGCCTCCGTTTTGAGTACAGTTACCCACCCAGCATTGAATCCGCACCGAACCCACGTGTAGGCGGATTCAATAGAGGAGGTCATGATGAAGGAGTCTTTCTGGGCATCATACGAATACTCTGGCGCCCTGATTCCAAGGGAATCGGATTTTGCCATTGATGCGCAATAGGCTGGAAAAGAACATATGCGCCTCTGAAAAGCCAGCCTTATCAGGTCAGACACGGTAGTTGGTCTACGTCAGCGAGCGGTAACTGCAAGCGAGTTCAAAGAGTCACCCCAGCTCGTCTTAGATGTGACTTTGTTGCTTGATGGACAATGCAGTGGGGATAAGGTGAGAGCAGGCTTTTTGTGCCACCAAATGATGGAATAAAAGGCCACGGGCCTACGCAAATTATGATACAGGACTTCCTACACGATGTGCCTTCAAACTCTTCCGCCTGAGCTAATATCATATATTTGAGACCGATTGGGGTTAATGCAGGACCGATTTAACTATCCGGGACTCAACAAACCGCTCTTTCACATCCTCAACATCGATACATTGATCTGTATCGGAAAAATGCCGCACCACATAGGGGTTTAGCTCTTGCATGGTACGCAGGCTCGGGGTGCGAGTCTGGAGTTAGCAGGCTGCTGGATGCAGGCGCCGATGTCAATGTTCGCTTGCCAAATGAGGTCCAGTCGACAGCACCTGTAGAAGCTACACTGCACAATCATACGCCGTCCCCTAGACATTGGAGCTCTGCCGGACGCTGCTGATCTCCGCACCCGAACCTTCGTCTGTGGCGACCAGTGGACGCGGCGACGCGGCCGTTACCCATGCTATTCTGGATTTCGCGCCAGGCCAAATGTACTGGCGTTCCAAAAGCGGGCACCGTTGATCGAGGCCAACTAGGACCAGGCAGTAATCCAAAGTGGCGTTGCTTTTGCAGCATGGGGCTAGTGTGCAGGTCTTCCGGGATAGAAAATCCTCTTGCACGTGGCCGCGGCGAAAATTGCCGCTCGTGCGATTATGAGAACGTTGTGACAGGCTTTAGAGTGCAGGTCAATTCCTCCAATGACAGGGGAATGGCACCACTCCAGTTAGCAGCGGCCAACTCGTGCATACACACGGGGTGCATTATCTGCTACGTTATGGTGCAGCCCCCCACTTCAGAGGAGCGTACCGCTACACAAGGAGGCGGACTGTGTTCTTCTTTGCTGCGACAAGGCAGGGAAGCCACAGGAAAGACATCGCCGAGCTGCAACCCATTTATGCTGACTTGGTTTAACGCGAAAGTGGCTGACGTGAACGCGGTTTTCAGAACGGCGGAAGAAACACCGATCTTCAACGTCATCCGAAGCGGGGGACAACATCGGGTGTAAAAGAATAACGGGGCGGAGTAGAATGCGCCGTACCCGCCCGCACCGGCCACCCCTAGTACACCGCCCTAGAATCATTGTATTACTCATTACTAATTCACTGCCTTTGATAGAAAGAGTGGTTGCATGTAGAAACGTGTTGGGCGGTATACTGGGTGGCCGGTGCGGGCGGGTGGCCGGCGCGGCTGGGAATTACATTATGTCTAATCATCATTGATGATGATGGGCTCATTATCATCAATTTATTAAAGTGTTTGTAAAGAGACAGTGTATCCTTCATCCCGTATAATATATAGAATCTCTGCATCAGAGAAGCACCTCTCAAAGAACAACTTCTTGATCCGGCTGTATAGAGAGGAATCAAACCCAACTACTTAACCTGGTCTTGATTATACGCTCGCTGACTTGTACGTGGTATCATGCCTTAATAATAGAGGCAATATAAGCTGTAGAATAGTCCTCATGGAACAGACTAATAATGTTAGCCTTGTACGGCTCAAGATTAATGGCTGGACGTACCATGATTAACACCATGATGAACAAATAAAGCACTGTACGTAGAGTAATAATAAACATCATCTAGCAGTGAGGCCAGCGGTGAGCGTACTTCAACACTAAAAATCGTTTTTGCCCGATGGCCGCTATTAACCGCCGTAGTAAGTGTCAAAACTTGATTTTCTTCGGTGCTCCTCCATCATTGGCCCCAACTCTTCTTTGCTGCACACCAACACCCCGTTTTCTCTTGACTGCAGGTTTGGGCTCTGGCCTCCTCCATATCACATTTGTCAGGCCATGCACATCGTGTAAATAACAACAAAATTCGATCTCAGACTTAAACAAAGCTGAGCAGCCACAAACTGGCTTTATACTTGGCCATTCCATCCTCTGAATGTGTATCCTTTCAATATGCCCTCGTAGACCAGCACTGTATAACCAGGGCTTCATTTATTTTTCAGGTGCAAAAGTTTGATCCCATAGACAACAAGGGCAGTATCCAGAGCGAATTACCAAATAACAGTAAATGATTACTTCGTAATGTCAGTTATCCCAGCATTTAAGATATTAGCTAATGTGATAATGCCAATATTTCTCCTGGAGCCATGACATGTATTCATAACAAGATCTTAGCTGATAGGCAGCTATTCCCAACCAGCAGGCGGTGGCGTTGCGAACACAGTCATGAATATAAACACTTCTCTTTGGTTTTTCCAGTCTGCATTCAATTATTAGTATATCTCACACATTACAGCAGGCGGCACTCACTCTTCAATACTATATTGATATATATCGACTGGGCACTGACTATTAATAAGAAATTCTCCCAGGAAATAAACCACATCATAATCACAGCCACACTGTATGAGCAATTGACTCCTGAAGAAAAGCTTTTTAATTATAAATAAGTAGCTCAGCGGAACACAAAACCTCTGTTATATATCCCAGCTCAGGCATAATCAGGGTCAGGGCACGAGAATATATATTATTCTGCAGTGATTCCTGTCAATTCTTTCCCCTGCTTAGGATTCGCTGATCATGTCTTTCCCGAACCCACTGAGTCTGGTATCAATGGAGCTCTGACTGTCAGATACTAGTCAGGGTCTTCCGATACTCATTCTAATAGAAATTAACAATCTCAGTGTTTTCCTCTTTTTTGTATCATACAATATGAGCCTATAAGTTCGTCAGTTCTTCTTACTGGAAAATGGCTTCCTTTTATTCAGCAGGTAGTTCTTGAGACAGTCCAACCTTCCAAAATTGACCATATCTTTAAAAGTTTTCTATATAATAAGTCTCTTCTTCCTCATCTAAAACATCACCAACTGTATCAATCGATGAACAGTATACTTAATAGTATATCAGATATATTCCCTTACTTCTATGGCCGTAGATCTGGGATACAGGTATAGATTCATGTCTTACTTTATAGGTTCAGCTATACTTTACTGAAAAAGCGGGTATTATAACTTACATTCAATTTTCTTTCCAAGAGACTGATGAATATCATGTATCATGGCACGTTTCGAATATCCAGCCATTGTAAGGATAATACAGAGGAAAATACAAAATCACTGCTTATCAAGTATCATCTCTTAAGAGTCTTCCGCCGTGACATTTCTGAAAACAGGTCGATCCAATGCAGTATATTCCCAGCGAAGCGGGATTTCTGTATATTACCCGTCACAAAGATTATATTTAACTAAATCCTCTATTAACTTAATACCAAACAAAGCTCCGTCGTAGAGAGTAATTATAAGAAGAAAGATACCTGTTATAAACTGTGGACAATTATGGTCTTGAATCTTGATTCTAAATCTGATAACTGATCAGTCACTTTACATAAACTGGAGAAATAAGACCTGAAGATTCCTTACATTGTATAATTAAGATTATGATTATTCTTTAATTATTTTTGATATATCTGCCATCCTATCTTGTAGGATATGTCTGCAGAACAGAACAAGACCAGTTTAATATACTACAAAATTATGTCAGTAAAAGACCTGTATAAGTCAAAGATATCATAATATACTCATCTTATATCGAAGCCCCCTCACTTCCTTGTATTTCACATCCAGTATAAGTACTCCGATCCTTGCTCCAGTAAAGAGAATTACTTACAGTGTAAATATAATAAAGACTTTAAGTAAATTATGAAGAAAGACAGGACTGTCCCGTGCCCATATAGAAGAGACAATGTTTCAAAAATCATCTCTAATAAAGTTGAACTTCTGCTTTTTAATATCTTCAATAATTTTATCCGCCGGTAGGATCTTCTTAATCCACTGGTTAATATCAGTTACATTCACCATAGGAGGGTACCCTACATACAGAATATATCTCACTCCGGTCTTCGACCGGAATATTACTTATTATAGCTTTCTTAAACCTATAAATAAACCTCTCAGCAAATGTATTAGTAGTTCTCACCATGAACTTTTCCTTTTCACTAAGTCTCCTCTGACCAGCAGCAGAGGCTACATACCATCAGATGAAATCTTTGATACACGTAATATCTGGTACAGGGGTACCAGTCTTGAGAATATAACTAGATTCTTTATATTTCTCTTCCATAAAATAAACATGGTTAGAATAGGCCTAGTTTCCAGCTTGCTGCAAAATTACTTACTCTATATATAGGATTACAGCCTTATACAGTTATACTATAGACTTTTCATCTCATCAAGGCGGTTGTTTTTACCCCTTATAGAGTCTTCTTCTTCATGGGCTTGTGATATATATCCAATAGTAAGATGATACTCACGGCGCTTCTTACAGGCATCTTTTTCACACCAAATAATCTTCTATCCATAGTCAAGGAAAAAATCAAAGTACAGATAGTAAAAGAGCAGATGTCTATATATGCACGAGACAGGTTGAGAAGACAAAAGCAATAAGATATTGGTTGCTTGATAAGCTTGAAAGTATAACAGAAATATACTTTTTATATCTTTGCCAGAGCTATTGTGGATAGCAATAATTATACCAGATGAATTTCGCTACTTGAGCCCTCTAACGCTCCATCACAATTATAATTGCGTCATATAAAAGACGCATATTGGAGGAGATGGGTATTGTAGATTTAGTCAATTCGGTATTGTTGTCGGGCTAATAGTACAAAATATTAAAATATGAGCAGCTCAGGGCGCACGTGACTGCTGACTGATTCCGGCCTGATTAGGACCTGAGCGCTCACTGAGCATTGACCGGTGATGAGAAATACTCAGTGAGCGACCCCCTGAGCGCCCTCATTAAAGCGGCCTCATCCAAATAGGGAAAGTCTCGTTGATTGTAGAAAATCAAGTCTGTATAAGGGCATATGTATAGAGGTAAGTCGTATCGAAAACGTTCGGGGATAGCCTTGCTTTGCTGAACTCACTTTCATATTACATTCCCCTCGGGTTGGATTAATGGCCATATTCATTGATATGGTTAAGATTTTATTCATTATATCCCACACCACCAAACGCCAAATTGATGACATGAGATATCTAACACTTCACTCTGAGGATTCCTACAATTCGTATATGAGGTATCTTGGGTTCCGCTGTAGATTTAGTTGTGTGTAGCTGTGGCAATGACCTTCCTGCGCCCCAGCATGCTTTTGTTTCGGGGATTCATGTGAGTTTGAGATGACAGCAGTTAGGGCCATATTCTTTGCTTTAAGCGGTGGCAACACTTAGCGGACTCGATCAGGTATAAGAATAAAAACTGATACCAATTGAATCGATTCGATTATGACGTGACCGTCATATAAGAAGTACTAGGCGTCAACCGCGATGACAGGTCACAGGGGTTGACGATGCCCAGTGCTACGGCACAGGCAGCGGTCATTGGAGATACTCGTTATCTCCATTGACTTATGGTACAATCCATCGACGCCAATGTGCAGTCAAAATTATCCATGTTGTCTATATACAATCTGCGAAACCCGTAACCACATCCGAAACACCATGCCAAATACACACCGAAATCAACTAGCAGGAGGAACTGAAACACCTTCTGGTGCCGCCTCCAGAGGACCTTGAGGTTTCTCCCGAGGCGGCCAGTTTGGCGCCGGATAGCTGAGCAATTTACACACGTCCTGTTCACCATCTTTAGCAACGAAAACACACAAACCAGGCAGGAGGAATGAACAAACCCTTCGTTTCCGCCGGAAATCATCGTAGAGCTTCTTCCAAATCTCACGATCCTTGCACCCACTCTCATGCATCGTGCCTGGCTTGACCTTACACTTGGGCAGCATATCGGCCAGCAGTTCCTGCGGCCACATCACCCACGGCTTGGGCAGCGGCCAGTCGGAGAAATGGACCAGCTTCGCTTCCGCTAGTACCTTTTCCGGATCCCATTCTTCATGCTCATTACCCAGGAACGCCCGGTGGTCGTCTTTGCGAAACTCGCCGGTGACCAGTCCGTACTGTCGGTGCGGCAGAACCAAGGCCGAATCCGCATACCGTTCGTTCATCAGTTCCATATCGTACCTGACTCGCGAGCTGACGTTCGAGTCGACCTGTCCGTACGAAATGGCCTGAGCCTTATCCATCAACGCATACCACTCTTTGTAGGACGGCTGGAGAACAATCAAGAGAGACGAGAGCTGCTTGATATCAGGCAGTTCCCAGTAGGCGCGGGGCATGGCGACTTGAGATGACGGGAGGAAGAACAATTCGTCCATGTTCTGTAGAACGCTAACGTCGGAGTCGATGTGAATGACACGTTCGAATTCGGTCTCTCCGAAGGCAAGAAGCTTGGAGATGCTCTTGTCCCAGGATTCGCTTGGTCCTATACTTCCTGCATTAGCTCCTGACGTCGTTGACAACTCGAACCGTTGTAATGAGTGGCCTACCCGATCCAGCCTTAACCATCTGAACATCAATCGGCACCAACAGCACATTGTATTTCTCCTGGGCCATCGCCAGCAGCTGGCTGTCCCGGTCGCGATCGTCATCTACTAGCACGTCCCAGTTCTCGGGGTAGAAGAGCACCCGCTGCGCTCGGCTGCCCAGCCGTTGCAGAGTATCGAAGACGATAAGCGCATTGCACAGGTATGGGCTCGACGTCGCATACTGGCTGTAGGCGTAGAGCGACCAATCGACTCGGTCGTAATCAATATGAGGAAGGGGCGGGGGCGGAGGTTTCTCTCGACGCAGCAATAGGACAAACAGCACGAAGACGAAGATGGCGAGCCAGGCCCGCGGACTCTTAAGATAGCGGAGCTGGCGCTTGATGATGGACCAGCAGGGCTCTTCGGGAATGTCGAAGAAGTCGGCTTCGGAGGCGTCTGAGCCCCGGCGGTAGGGTAGGACGGGGCCTTTCTTGCCTGCCATGTGGAGTTGAAGTAAATCAATTGAAGGGAAGGGACATCTTTAGATGATGGTTGACGCGTATCCTCCTCGTCGATCACTACTACTCCGCCATCTTCAGGGAGGCAATCGCCGCCATGATCTGGAAGTGATAACTAGCTAGTTGTGCTGGTTGTGCGGGCTTTGTCAGCTATCCTGCGGATAAAAATAACGCCCAATCAGATCCGGTCGGTTCCAGTCCACTTAAGGTAGTAAGTACTGTGCACTCAGGTGCAACGCCGTTGGATCACCAAAAGGTACGTACTACTAGTATTAGTATCATTACAGTCTACCAGTAGTCAAGCTGAAGATTCAGTAACCGCTTCTAGCAGGGTCTCAAATAAATCAGTTCAGGTGTACTCCGTACAAACAGTATCTACTTATCGCATTCACCATGTCATCGGCGCGTGTCTTTCTCCGTTGCCCCGTAGTTTAGTCAGCACATGCGTATTGTTCTCGAAAGGCAGAGATAAAAAGAGAAATAAAGCATAAGCTAACTGCTAGTGTGACGTAGTTGGATTTACATTGAAATCTTCCAGTAAATTCACTTATCATTCGCTTGGCGCAGCACGACCCTTTTGGCGCAATTTAGCTGGGTACTCGCGACACCCGCCGAGAGATCACTCCGGGGGACTAAACCTCTCCACCCACTTCAGTCCGTCTGCCTGTTTCCCCGTCGCCAGTATGGAGCTTTCCCGCATTATCCTCGCCATCGTCGTCTACTTTGGTAAGCCATACGGACAGTGCCATTCATCTGCCTGCTTACTGACGCCGTACAGTCCTCCGTTTCATCCGTACTCGCTTCTTCGGCAACAACAACAACACCACCGGATCCACCATGTCGCACGGAAAGGTTATCGAGGTTGACAAGTGAGTCATCTTCCTAACTCCCCCTCCGCAGATAGTAAATTGTGCACTGACCGGTCCAGCCCCGTCATCTTCAAGGCGCTCACCTCCAACGGTCCTGTGGTCGTGGACTTCTTCGCAACCTGGTGCGGTCCGTGCAAGGCCGTTGCGCCAGTGGTCGGCAAGCTCAGCGAAACCTACACCAATGTGCGCTTCATCCAGGTCGACGTCGATAAGGTCCGCTCGGTGGCGCAGGAACTGGAGGTGCGCGCTATGCCCACATTTGTCCTGTACAAGGATGGTCAGCTGCAGGAGAAGCGCGTCGTGGGTGGAAACATGAAGGAGCTGGAGGCAGCCATCAAGGAAATCACGGCATAAGAGGGTAGTAATAAAGGAAGAGATAGCCGAGCCCGCAGAACTGGAAGGAGAGAAAGTAAAATTTAAGTCCGAGTCCATGTGATGATGGTGGACTCAGTGATGTACCCTTGTCTGTTCATTCAGGACTATCGTGATCCCTAATAGCGGGAAGATAGCTGCGGACCAACTAGCCACACGCAAAGCCTCCAAACATCCAATATTTGCATCTACCATCTGTTCATTTGCTCCTAAGGCTACTGTTAAGGCTACCAGGGATCGGAGCCGTCGGTTGGCAGCTGAATAGAAGGCGGAATATCTTCGACAGGACCTGATTGACGCGGAAAGTGACGCGGAATATGACTGCGGGGCACGACACTAGTATATTTCAATACGATAGAATGTGTAGTTGTATATTTAGCTGCAGCGAGGACTGCTCCTGTATAGTTAATTAGTTGATTCATGGATTTACGGCGAAGCTTTAGGAGGAGTGGTTTGACGGCGTTGAGGGTCATATCATTTATTGCTTCAGACGGTGAGGCACCGGCATAACTTAGCATCTTACATAGCGGGCTCGAACAAATATAAGGATAAGGGTTGAACTAAATTGGAAGAAAGCCTTTGCCCGCGGGTATCATCGTCAATCAAATCAATCAAGCCAGAAACCAAAAAGAAATCCTCAAACTGAACCTAACCAATCAATCCACTCCTGCCCGGAATTAAACAATCGCTCCCATTTCGCCAATAAAACCTTAGAATCACAATGATACTCTAATTGAAAATGAACAGAGACCACGCCATCAATGACCTATGGATGGGGTTAAAAGTAGCAGTTCGTCTAAGAATGAGACGTCGCCAACAATTACTCCGAGTTTCACATCACCGTCCGCACATACTGAACGGGCAAAAGCAACGATCATGACCCCGCTCTTTCACAACAGAAAACTCAGCTCGTCCTCGCTATCATCGTCCGAGCATGGAATGACCCGCTCGGCTGGGGGAGGTCGCGTACGAGTGGAGCGTCGAGGGCCTTGCACCACCGATGGGCTAGGAATCTGTGATGGTGGTGGTGGTGGTGGTGGTGGTGGTTGTGGTTGTTTTCGTGCCGTTCTGGGGGTGCGATTCAGAGACCTCACCGATACCGGCTGGTTGACGATAACCACCTCGATGAGGGGAGTCACTTTGATAGGGTCCGCGCGGGAGATGCTGGGTGTAGTCGGGCCTGGTTGTAGTCTCGTCTTCTTCAAGGTGCTGTTCTTGGCCTGGGGTAAATCGCGAAGGGCCGTTCGTGCCCGGGTGGCAATCGGTGCAGAATCTGGCTCGAGGGAGCGAGCCGCAGCAAGGCGCTCACGTGTCGCTGGCAAAGCGCCAGACGCGACTGGAGCTGCAGTCATCCTCCTCGAACTTGACCGAAGTCTCTTGGGTGACGGTGGCCTCCAATCATTCGTCCCGCGTCCTCGTTTCCCGCTCATCGATGGCGCAGATGATGTCACGCTGGATGCAGCCTCCTCCGAAAGTTCAGGGCTGGGCGATCTGCTACTGGTTGAGCAGGAGAGCGCCAATGGTCTCCGCTTAACTGTCGCAGCAAGAGGGCTTGAAGCGCCATCCGCATTACGGGAAGCCAGAGGTTTGGCGACCGGCGTGCTGGATACCCATTCCCCAATGCTTTCTTCCCATCGGTACAGGTGAATCACATCGTTTTGTGCCACATGTGCCAATGCGGCAGATTTGTGGAGATTCCCTTCTTGCTGGGATGAAGCGGCTTGTTCTTGGATTTCGAGAGCCCACGCGTGATCATCCACATCCAATGTAACCTCCGCCAACGCCATTGCTGTTTCCGCAGCTACCTTGGCGAGGAGCAGAGAAATGCCCTTCATACTCGTCAGCCGCGCGAGCCGCCATACGATAGCTCGAATTTTTCGAGGTGTCCTCGCAGGATCATCTTCGCGCGCATGTCCACAGCATCGAAACAATTGTTGGACAAACTCTGCTAGCTGTTTGACTGCATCCTGTTGGTGTATCAACGCTATACAAAGCGACTCTAGATTTTCTGGCGAGATGGCGCCGGACTGGCTAATGACCTCAGGCGTGGAACTTTCAGTGCACTGCAGCGTCCACTCACCCAACAAGACGTATCCCCGACGCAGGGATTGGAAGCTTGGACCCTCCATCTCGCGCCGCGACAGTACCAATCCAACTGCCCGTTGTACCCCAAAAGACAGCGTTCCGACAATATGTCTGACTTTCGTGCCTGCTATCTTGTCATTGGCACCGGAGGCTTGCGTCCGTGCCATATACATGCCGCACAGTGCGGTAACTAGACTTGCTGAAAGATTGCTGAGCGCATCTTGGATAGGAACAGGACACGGAGATTGATCCTTAGGCACGCTTGTAGGCTTCGTTACTGATGCACGGGTGTCCTTTAGACGTAAAGAACAAGGTACCTTTCTGCCCCTGTTCCGAGCTACCAGCGAATCCGTGCCGGGATATATACCAGCAGATGAAAGGATGATAGCCTCGATAGTCCGGGTCGCAGCAGCTGAATCTCCGTCGCCAATTGATAGTGACCGAATAGCCCCATCCACGCACTTTTTCCATCTTGTAGTGACCATCCACTCTGGCGGAAGAGCCCTACGAGACAGGAGCTTTGTCATCTCATCAAAAACAAAGGATCTTCGTTCGGGGGCCTTCGAGTAGTAACTGCGCAATATGTAGATAGGGTTATCGCAGTGGCCCACAGGTTTCGAAGGATCAAAAGCTGTTGGGTAGTCGTGAGTCTTGATGGTCGTAAGATATTGTGACATAAGTGTTTCGAAGGCATCCAACTCCCCGTGCTCAAGGCATTCCCCTAGCAGGCGACAGACCGCCAAACTGGGTATCCATTCTCTCATCATCATCTCAGAGATCAGGTGGATGCCTTGCGCACGCACAGCTTCACGGAGCGGCTGCCACCCACCGCCGCCAGGAGCATATTGAGCTTCGAGTTCAGTAAAGTATGCATCACACATGTCAACATCCTCATCCGGCTCCACCTGATCCTGCAGGCGCTGCTCCTCGGCGATGAACCCCGGCAGCCGTCGCGCAGCCATAGATAGTAACGATCGGGCCCCGCGATTCTCCTCGTCATGCTTGTGTATTGTCGGAGCAGGTCTGGTATTCTCCAAAAATTTGATAAGCATGCGATCCAAGAATCGCGCAATATCCACCAAGCCCGGGTCTCCAGAAAGATCCAAAACTTCCTTCCATGAGCCCTGGTATGCCGGGAAACTGGGATTATTCGTCCGCGACTGCCTGTTGGCCCCGACAGCGCTCAAGGGTGGTCCCGAATTCCGAAAAAGCCGTTTGCGAATAGACAAGGTCGCCTCCGTGGGTCCTGGTATAGTTCCTGTGATCAATGGGGTAGCGATTTCGATAGCGCCAGGCAGCGTCCTCTGCACTTCCGGGCTCTTGATCAACAGTCGACTACGTCTCCGTGCGCCATTCCTCTGTCCGCGATTCGAGTAATTATGCCTGGGCCGGCGATTTCCCCGGTTTCCTGGGATCCATGCTGGATCGTCGGGTTCCTCGTCTGAAAGATTGCAGCCTGGTTCGTTACCGGTTCTCTTGTTGTTTAGCGGGGCTCGCGAACGGTGGGAATTGTGGGAATCGGGCTTGACTTTCGATTTCGTGTCTGCTATGCTGTTGCGAATCTCGTAGTGTTTCTGGAGTCGGTGGTGGATGGATTTCAAGGGGCGCAACAAGCGATTCGCCCATTTCGCGGTCGGCCGGATATCCTCCATGTTGCGCCAATTGCGTCGCGGATTGGCGTTGGTACTCGCAGGACGTCCCACGCCCGTAATGGGGAGGAAATCCAAAGAAAGCGCTTCAGAATTGGGCTTGTCGTGGTTATTGATGTCTCATAAATGATCGATGTCATCGGGAGTCGCGAGCCAAACACTGCGATGTAACCAAAAGTACTACCGAAAGAATGCGTAGAGACGACACCTAGTTAATCCCGGATCCAATAGGACTGCGTACAATTAAGATATACAGTTATGCACAGCCTCGTGGACCTGAAACTAGTTCCAACAACCGAGCTAAGGTAAGTAAATGTGAAAGTAAGATGTTAGAAGTTCACCAACAGAAACCCAGAGGGCGGAATCGCGCAGGTACGCGGTGCTTGCCGCCTGGACTCCGTATGGCACATTGCATAATGACGGGGCGGGCGACCGCCTAACATCTTCAGTGGGCTCCGTAAAGTAAGTAGGTACCTTGAGTCAATGGTCACGTGGAGAATCAGGCCCACAAGGCGCTGGAATCCGGAGTATAGTAAGCAATGGAACAAACAAACAAACAAACATCATTCCACGTCGTTCAAATTAGACTCAATAATGATTACAAAGTACTCCGTAGTAACTAACTAGTTACCTACGGCAACTATGTCAACTAGAACAAGATAGCTTCGCATCATTCCTGTTCATTCATGCATTCCCCCGTTTCATGATATCTCCCTGCATCCAGCCACCGCTGATCCTTATCCTCTTTGCTTCTTTAACCCCAAGCTCCCCCACCATGATTCTCCGCACTCTTCATCCGCCCTCGCTCTGAGTGTCGACACTAATTCTCCGCCATGCTGCTTGATCATCTCTGGCTGGCGTGCCTCACGTTGCTCGTGGCTGGGGCCGCTGCCGTCAAGGTCAATCCCTTACCAGCTCCACGAAGCATCACTTGGGCTTCGCCGGGTCCTAAGCAGCTGGCCGACTTCGTTAGTCTCCGTACCTCCCGGGACACTTCCGATTTCATTCTGGCCAATGGATGGAATCGTGCCTGGAATTCTATCGTCTCCCTACAATGGGTACCTGCAGCAACCGAAGGTCCCGTGCCGTCTTATCAACCCTTCCCCACCGGTACAGCCGGGGCTACTAAAAGGTCCCCGCAGGCACTGCCATCGCTCCAGTTTGTTGATTTGAACGTGTTGGATGTTGCCGCAGACCTTCAGCATGGGGTAGACGAGTCTTACACCCTGGAGGTCACCGAGAGCTCTACCTCGGTGGTCATTGAGGCTCCCACCGTGTGGGGGGCGCTCCATGCCTTTACCACTCTCCAGCAGCTGGTCATCTCTGACGGACAGGGTGGTTTGATCATCGAACAGCCAGTTAAGATTCAGGATGCACCTCTCTATCCTTACCGGGGTATTATGCTTGACACTGGTCGAAACTTTATTTCGGTCAACAAGATATACGAGCAGCTGGACGGCATGTCTCTTTCTAAACTAAATATTCTACACTGGCACATGGAAGACACCCAATCGTGGCCCGTGGAGATTGACGCCTATCCGGAAATGATTCATGACGCCTACTCTCCTCGCGAAGTATATTCGCATGCTGATATGCGCAATGTCGTGGCCTACGCGCGAGCGCGTGGTGTACGGGTCATCCCCGAGATTGATATGCCCAGCCATTCCGCCTCTGGGTGGAAGCAGGTCGACCCCCAGATGGTAACCTGCGTGGACTCCTGGTGGTCCAATGATAATTATGCCCTGCATACCGCGGTAGAGCCCCCGCCCGGCCATATGGATATTATTTACAACGGCACGTATGATATAGTCCGACAGGTCTATAATGAGCTGTCTGAAATCTTCCCAGACAACTGGTTCCATGTTGGGGCAGATGAGATCCAGCCGAACTGTTTCAACTTCAGCAGCTACGTCACTGAGTGGTTTGCGCAGGATCCGTCGCGAACTTATAATGACCTAGCCCAGTACTGGATTGACCATGCTGTGCCGATCTTCCAGAACTACAGTACCTCACGGCGACTGGTCATGTGGGAAGATATTGTACTATCCACAGAACATGCACATGATGTTCCCACGAATATCGTGATGCAAAACTGGAATAATGGCCTGGACTATATCAATCAACTGACTGCCAAGGGCTACGACGTGATTGTATCATCAGCGGATTTCATGTATCTGGACTGTGGGATAGGAGGTTTTCTCACAAATGACCCTCGCTATGATATAATGAGTAATCCCGATGCAAGCACTCCCAACTTTAACTATGGTGGCAACGGGGGCTCGTGGTGTGCGCCGTACAAGACATGGCAGCGGATCTATGACTACGACTTCACACAGAATTTGACCGCTACCCAGGCTCAACACATTATAGGCGCAGAGGCACCGCTCTGGTCAGAGCAAGTGGATGATGTGACGGTATCCAGTCTAATTTGGCCGCGTGCCGCTGCGCTGGCGGAGCTGGTGTGGTCTGGGAATCGTGAGAACGGGCAGAAGCGCACGACGCTGATGACCCAGCGCATCCTGAACTTCCGCGAGTATCTAGTGGCCAACGGGGTGCAGGCGACAGCCCTGGTACCAAAGTATTGTGTGCAGCATCCGCATGCCTGCGACCTGTACCTCAACCAGAGTGTGATTCAGTAAATCGGGGCTGGGGAGAGCAGCTGGCAGCGTAGCATCTAAGATGACATATGGGATCGATGTGTAAATGATATAAGTTGCAGGCGATCTGATTTAAGTACTATAGTACTAATATAGGGGCCCGAAGGGCCGCGTAGAGAGGGTGGTAGTACATTCAATAATATTCAATAATAGTATATTACTATCATTCACTATTATTGCCAGTAATTACTCATTCTTAGTTACTGTTACTGTATAGTTTATCAACAGTTACATATAGTAGTGGTCAGTTATTTACATTTTGTGGAAAGGTTATTTACTGTTATCCTCGGATGAATTTTATTCCAAACCAACAAACCTCACCCAAACCGGGTAATTACATCCCACTATTACAAAGTTATATACTGTTCGATAACACTTATTAAATTCTACTAATAGAATAAATAATTCTTTATCTAATATTGTATATACTAACAATATCTATTACTCACAGTCAGAAAAGATACTATAAGATCAAATAATATATATAAACTATAAACATCCCTGATCTACTGATTATATTATTCACATAACAATATATTCTTGTAATTAAGAATCTTGAAAGTCGTATAAAATTATATTAAGAGTAATAAAGAACTGAATTATAATAATTACATGAAATCAATATCCCATGGACAGTATACTAAATCCAGTCTATTATTACTAGTCGATAGTTATCCAAAGTTATTACACATATCCACCATGAATGCCTGTTCAATCTTATCCTGTAGTCCTAATAATAAGTAACTCTCCGAAGGATGGTAGTAAGAGAGTGTTGTTATCTGGTCTGAATCATTAGGTTCCCAAGGCTGCACTAAAAGAAATAAGAAAATTTGCGACTGAAAGTGATGCTTTATACCACAGCTGAAATATGCTAATGAAGATCCATATTTGATAAAGCTTCCAGCAGTGATTGTCTGTGAATAACTATAAATAAGAAGATAGTTAGTATAGTATGTACATAGAAGACTATTGTAAAAGGCTTTTACAATAGTCCCATAGAATGACTAGAGATTCACCAGGAATAGAACTTAATACAATGGTAATAAGATAAGTAAGACTTATCATACTGAACAGGCACTGAGATAGAATACTCCTTCCAATGAGCAGAAGGTAGCATGTTCAGTATATCCTGCTCAGAAAGAGAGCAATGATAAAATTCAGTAGGATGTATCATTGAGGCCTGTACATTAGTATTGAATTCATTTGTAAGAATGTATTTCTAGATAAGACGCAGGCAGGATTTATACAATTCCTGGACTATTTGGAATAGAATTGGATGACTATCCTGCCAGGAACCGGCGAGGCCCAGGCGTACATAGTGGTAAAACTGATCCAACCAGGAAAGATAAGCCATAAACCGAGGCGGCGAGGCATGATCAATCCATTTCTTAAATACTCTTACAAGAAGTATCAGCAACTGACTGTATATTTTCAAATAGACCCTTACCTATGCTTCAGCTCGCCCGCTAGAACATTACAGTTTATAAGCGGGCCATACTCAGCAGCGAATGTATGGAAATGAAAGCCAGCATGGATAACAAGCACTCCAAAGTACTTTATCCACCTATCATTCTTTGCTGTTGTACCAAGATCACGCGGTAATTTTCCTGCTGTGTATGAGTAAACTGGCAAATCAAATTTACCAGAAGGAAGGGTTGGACTATATAAAATACCATGGGTTCTGAAGACATGTAGCTGGGAATTAGTCAGTCCCGAAGCAGTAGCCATCAAATACTGGAAAACGCGACGGCTGTGGGGTACTCGAGTACGCACACTATCAGGAGGCACCACTCAGCTAGTCGAGATAAGTGTGGTGGTAAGTGCAATCTCTGTACAGGCACAGATCAGGACATTCATCTCTGTGTTGCCATCCGAATCAGTACTGATAACATGCCCGGTGCGAGTATCAGGATTAATACAGAAGTCACTTGCATCGGGATCACTAGCCGCCGCTGGTTTAGCTATTATTGAAGTTAGTATTAATATATTCTAGTTGAGCAGGCTCTGCTTGCATGGGAGTATTACCTGGACGCCTGGCGGGGAAGGACTTATACTATATTTTAATCTCTGGTAACCGGTCTTTCGAGGACGAGGCATAACAAGTATTGCCAATCGGTGCAGACTGGTTGAATGAAGTGAAATGTGATTCAAGCTAAATAGCAGAGGATAAAGGAGAATAAAAACTGATTTACAAGAGGAATGGCTAGGGGTAGAAGTTCCGGGCGGCCTTCATGGGTCTTATGGATCTCAACAAAAGCTAAATAATACCTAGGGCCGTATTGTTGATAAACAACGCCTCCCAGAACTTAGACGCGTTTCTGTTATCAGAGGTTCACATGTGTAACCACCATAGTAACCGAAGATATCAATACCAAAGATATTAAATATAGAAAGATAAGTATTACATATATTAGCAATTTGTAAATTAGTGTTATAATAAGGGTTACCAAGAGTTTATTATATTTACACCTATTTAAGATGGATATATGCATACAAATAAGGAGGTTGGTAAGTGGGATACTAGTTGTTATTTAAAGTGCTAGTAACTAAGTACTAAGTACCCGTAAATATATACTACTAGTCGTAGTGATGATATTTGTCTGAGTAGAACTAGTCACGGTACTAGTAACTATATATATCTGAGATTACTAGTACTACTAGTACTAAGTAGTATTGCTACCACTGCAATCATGACATTTTCTACTAGTACCAGCCTCCTGATACTAAGAGGGTTCTGCAAAAGCCTTTCACAAGATCTTGTATGTCTAGTAATAAGAGTTAGTACTATGATTATTATAATGCAGCAGGCAGAATCAATCACTATTTACTAGGCTTATAGCAATGCAGCTCCCCATCATCTGCTTAGTAACATGTATAATTTACACTACTTAAAGCTTGCTATTGGCTATCTTTATTCTGCCACTTCTGCTTACCGCCTTCAATTCCTCTATAGATAACCGTCTGAATAGCTTCATCTTGGTGTTACTATTACAATTGTACTCTCGCACCATTCACTGCGGCCCGCCGTGGGACCCGTGGCGGGACCCGCCTAGAGCTATGTAAGAGCTGTATTCCCCCTTCTCCCTCCCTCTCTCTTCCATTATCTTACTCTCCTCTACCAAGGCTCCCACTACTGCACTTCTACCAAGTCCAACTCTCACACTGCTGTCTTAAATTGCCTTCCGCGCCGCCGCCATGCCTGCCGCCATAGCTATTATTGTTGTGGCCGTTCTCATCCCTGCCGGCCTGCTCCTCTACAAAAAGAAGCCCGCTCTCTTTACCACGGAAAATTTCCTCAAACTCCTGGATTTCTCGGCCAAAGTTCTGGAGAAAGTTGTCGCAATCCTGGAAGTCGTCAAGAAGATTGCCGACGTTACGCTGGAAATCAAAGAGGCGTATGACAGGATGAAGGAGGCAGAGAAGGCAGCCCAAGATCAATGGAAACTTCAAGTAAGTTCGCATCTCTTTGAGCATGTAATTGATATATAACTGATATATAGCCAGTACCTTATTATCAGTATGGCGGGTTGTTTCGGGAAGATCGCTATTGGGGATGCGGGACGGAGAGGGACAGGAGAAGAGAACAATTTAATAATTATCCAGATAATAATACTCAGGTACAATTTCTCACGAAAACATAAACTTTTGTAACTGTTAACCCCATGGCTATCTGATATAATCCATCACCTAGTATACCCTGCAGATATCGTAGCCTACATGTTTGAGTTCCGGCCCAGTGTTCTTTTCCTTGTCCTGTTTGTATCTTCCGGCTCCCGTCCAGTATTGTTATTCTCATTGTTATTCTCATTGTTATTCTCATTCTCATTCTCATTTTCATACCCATACTCACTGTCAGTGTCATACTCACCCCCATCCTCATTCCTATTGCTCTGCTGTTGCCCCTGTCCACCAGTACCAGGCATAGTTGCAGCCGCCTCATTCTCGTTCTGAATAGCCAGCCCCGGTCCTTGTAATTGGGACCTAGCTGCATCCACTTCACTATCAGAGTGATCTGACCCGTCAGAATCTTCTAGAAGGGGGCGTTCTTCCTTATGTACTGTGGCAGGGTCACCTTCCGGAAGTTCATTTATGTCAATATTCAGACGGGCACGGCGCATCCTAATCGCAGGCACCGAACGGCGGGGAAAGTCCTCAATGCCAAGCTTATCCCGAAATCTATTGCAATCATGTAAATTGTCAAAGACACGCAGAACAAAGTAGCGGTTCCATTCATTTGGTATAGCAGTGCTGGATGCATTCATGAAATATTGTTCACTGGCACTCGCAAAATAAGTCAATGCCATAAGCTGGGTTGTAATATCTGATGCTAATTAATATCATCTGTAAAAGCCTTTACACCAATCTCTTTACTTACACTGTAACCAATCTCTACCTAGACTAGAGCAGTCATCAATAGATAATACCTGCTGAGCCCAAGGGAAGACGTCAAATACCCAGCTAAATTTAAACTGGCTAGCTATAGCCTGCTGAACAAGGACAAAGTCGGTTGATTCACGGATCCTTTGCACCTGCCGAGGTGTGAGAGTAAGAATCCAATTATTGAATTTCCTTAATGCCAGGTCCAAGGACTTGTTCTTCCATGTTTTATAAAGATCACGGACACGGGCTACCGCATTCTTGTACATCTCACGAGTGGCAGAGAGGCCGGGAAATACCTGCTCGACTGGCCATATCACTCTTTTATTATCCAGAGTAGCAATAAACTGCCGCCGTGCACAGAGAGTCACCTCCTCAAATGCCTCGCTGTCTGATTTGGAAACTCTGATTTGATTAGACGAGTAGGTGGGAATGACCGGCTTCAGCTGAGTCAGTCTGTTTACTTGTGAACCATCATAGTCAGCGAGCAACCATTCTTGTGGAGACTGCCGGTATGACTGAGAATCACCACTTCCACTGATCTGACTGTCGGGATTGGGCTCTTGCTCGCTGAAAGAATGAATGGACACTGAGGCTTCCCGGGGCCTTTGCAATGGTTGTGGCATGGCGGCAGTGTTCGGCGTTGTTGCAGCCGCAGTAGTGTATCCTGGCTGGGATAGACCAGTCGAATCCTGGCCCTGGGGGAGCGAGGAGCCCGGCCTACTCATCTCCTCCTCTGTGATATCGCGTAGAGAAGCCCGGCTCTGAGAGAACTGGGTTGTACCATTCTCCATTCTGGCTGTCTTTGATGCTCGCTCAGGACGCGCCTCTGACTGTAATATTCTTTTTGGAAGCTACTATTGTCAGTAGTGTATAAATACTTGATACTCAAGAGACACCACTTACCCTACTGTGCCTGATGCTGGCAGCACTTCTTACATGGTTCCCGGTCGAGGGAAGGAGCGAGTCCGTCGAAGGTGGGGCTAGCGCTAAGCCGATATTAGTTAATATATTCTAGGGTAATGTCTCCAAAGTCTGCTCTAGATAGTACCTGCTGTCTTCATCTGTCGAGTATCGGCAGGAATGCGGGACGGACGCCGGTATGATGGTGCCATAATATAGAAGCCGGCTACCGAGTGCTTTTACATGGTAGAAGTAGAAGAAGACAAGAAAGCATCTATGATTTAAGTATTTTAGTTAATGGTATATCGACAAACGGATGCTGTTGGGATGCCCGGTGCATGGGTATATTCACGTGTGGAGCGCGTCTTTCATTACAGGTACGCGCCTGTGGCTTTTCCGTACCGCCCCACGCGTTTCTGTAGTGGACTCTGAGATGCCACTATGTTCTATCTCTACCTACCTTGTATGTAATATATCCTGACCCCTCTTCTTCCTTTATTTCATCAAAAATAATATGGAGATGTCTGCGAAAGCCTTTCACAACAGCCTATATATATATTATTCAAAATCAGGTAGTGAGACCCTTGAACTTCTGTACTAAGATGAGATTGTTGGACATATCAATAATTCTCACTGCTGGCAGAAAGTGCAGCTGTCCCATTTTTAGCAAAGATTATTGTTGTCCACGAGATGCTACCCCTACTGCAAGAACAAGGTGTATTTGACTATATTTTGCTTACTAATAGGAAAAATATCTAACTAATAAGAATTGAATTAAAAACTGACATGATGCTCGAATGACAGTCCTACCCTAAGTCCCGGTTCAACCGTGGTGTTCCCGACCCCGAGATCCGTATCTTCAATCTGGGACGTAGTAAGAAGGCCAATGTCAATGACTTCTCTCTTTGCGTTCACCTCGTCTCCAACGAGTACAAGCAGCTGTCCTCCGAGGCCCTCGAAGCCGCCTGTATCTGTGCTAACAAGTATGCCGACCCGCTGATTCTACTTCGCCCAACCATCATGCACTAACACAGATATTCAGGTACCTTGTGAAGATCGCCGGTAAGGAAGATTTCCACCTCCGTGTCCGTGTGCACCCCTTCCACGTCATCTGTATCAACAAGATGTTGTCTTGCGCCGGTGCTGATTGTCTCCAGACCGGTATATGTGGTGCCTTCGGTAAGCCCCAGGGTACTGTTGTCTGTGTAAACATTAGCCAGATTATTCTGTCCGTCTGCACCCGTGACACCAACCGTGCTGCTGCTATTGAGGCTCTCCGCCGTTCCATGTATAAGTTCCCCGGTCGCCAAAAGATCATCGTCTCCAAGAACTGGGGTTTCACTCTTGTCCACCATGAGGATAAGCTCAAGCAGGATAATACTTATGATCAGTTCCTTATAGCCACAGTCTTATTAAGGCGAATAAGAATGGTTTTTTGATGTCTACAAGAATATCTTTTAGGCTTAGATGGACATCTCTGCTTGAGAATCAGAAAATAATACATCTTGTACCCCTCCTACTGCAGCTGATAAAGAGCCTACTGCAAAAGCCTTTCACCGAATATTTATCTCATATTAAGCGCGGTACCAGCTTTATATGGTCTATATTAGATCCATTAAGATACACTCTCAAGACTTCTCTCTATCAGAATCTATTTTACTCTCCCTCCCCCTCTTTCTCTTCCTCCTCTTCCTCCTCTTCCTCCTCTTCCTCCTCCTCTTCCTCTTCCTCATCAAGAACTTCTCCTGTTATACGCTTCACCACTTCGCCCATGATCACGTCGGGATCCGTTATATCGTCCTCCCTTGGCTCCTCACCCGGTTTAAGCTTGATCAGTCTTGCCCCCCGAACCACCCACCTCTCTACTCTGAAACCCTCATTCGAGTCATTAATCATGGAGGCTAAGCCTGTACAGAGTATGATCATTACTCCTGGGAGTGCCTTCCTCAGGTTCCGAGTGGCGAGATAGATATTGAAGGTCCCGGGAACATGATATTCATATACATACACTGCCCTTGTCTGCCTACACTGAAGATTTCTGCTGATGCACCGGACGGCAAGTGCATGGGATGTCGGTGGCGAGAAAAGGTAGATATTCCGGCACAGCGCATGCAGATTCAGCCCTGAACTATTAATGAGATAGGACATCACAAGAACCATGCACTTGTCAGGCTCCTTGGTAAGACTCCGTACAATCTCGCGCTGCTTCTTTGTGTCTTAGCCTCCGTGAAGAATCTCGTGAGAGATACCCGCCTTTGTAGGAGCTGTACTGATATACACCTCTTCCCCTGGAAAATATGTCCAAACCACCGACTTTTCACCTTTAAGCAATACCTGATCGCGGATATGCTTCAACATCAATCGAAGTTTCAGGGACCCCTGCAGCAGCAATTCCAACCCACCAGTTTTGAAGTCTGCTGCATCAGTGGCACCAGTGGCAGTGGTATCCAGTTCTTCTAAGTATCGTTTATAAAAGTCTTTTATCTCTGCTTCATTCTCAAGGATCTTCTTCTCTCTCAGGATTTTATTAACTATTGGGATCCACACTCGTCTCTTTACAGCCCCAATGGCTTGTGAGATCTTCGAAGCCACCAGTGTTTTTCTAATGTGGATGAAACCGAGCCACGAGGAGCCCAGTATTAACTGACAGAATTTACTTATATTCTAATGGATTCGTTCCGGGCGCTCCTCGTCCCTGATAAAAAGGTGGCAGCGGTGAATACTGTCATGTGCGTGATATGCTTCTGCCTCTTCCTTCTTGAACTCCGGGTTCTCAATGTGTTTTACCATCGGCGGGATGTCGGCGCCTATGCGGCGGCCGGTTCCAAGGGGAATTGATGAAGCTTGAAAACAGCGGATCATGAGATGTTGGAGGACCTGCCACAATCTCATTAACGTGGTCTGTGAATTGATAGTCTTGGTGAAGATATGAGCTCCGACAAATTCTGGATTATATAAAAGCGCCTCATCCGGAAAGCCAGGGGTGGCTTCCAGAATCTCAGCTACTTGTTTATTACTGAACTTCTTTCCTCCCTTAGTATTTGCTTGCAGGAGGAGCTTGTGATATTCTGTAAAATTATACAGAGTATTAAAGAATGGGGTTGCAGTTAGAAGCAGGTTAAATTTCACTTTTAGCCATGAACAGGTCAGTGATTGTCCTGAGGTTGAATTTTGTAATATATGCGCCTCATCAAAAATTGCTATGTCAAATAAACCCGCCAGATTAAGTGGGCACTTTGATGGCATATATGGATTTTTCAGATTATATGGATGCTTCTTTTTACTGCACCATGCCTTAATACCTTGAGGCCTGTGTCTGGCTTCCAGAGTATTATATAAAGTCAGAATTATTGTTCTCGTACTCTCAAGATTACTGGAGAAAACAGGATGTTTGGCTGTCAGTTTCTCGATGATATGCTCTGATGAGTTTTTCTGCCTTCTGCTATCTCTATAATAAAGAATCATTTTAAAAAGTCTAGTAATACTCTGAATTTCCTTTTTCCACTGATTAATCAGATAGGGGGGCACTATAATGAGAATAGGTTTTTCCTTGGGTAACAGTACCTTCTTCGCCCTTGCGGCTTTTTGCTTGTTCAGAAACAGATGGTATCACTGTATTAGGTCAGCTGCAAAAGTCTTTTACCATATCCATCATAGATACTCACATACAGGAGAAAAGCTACTGTTTCCCATGTTTTCCCTAATCCCACGGAGTCGGCAAGAAGGGCACCCAACATTAGACTATGAATTATTATCTCTACCAAATGATTCACTGCCACCGGCTGCCAGAACTTCAGGTGACTGCCAGGATACATCCCTTTTATACGGGGATGCTCTGGGTCTGCTATACCCAGGTTTTTGCACGCCTTGCTATGGTTGTTAAATTGGTATTCCCTGGCATCCAGCCACTTTTCCATGCGCTCAAGACGCTCGAAGTCCTCTATTATTGGTTTGATCAGGTCTTCGTTTTCTCCATTGATCTCACAGTCCTATTCCAGGTTCTCTGCAGTCTCATAAAAATTACTATTGAAAATATTGTTCTCAAGTAACTTGCTCAGATCTGCCTTCGGCTTCTTCTTTTTCGCCCTCTTGCGGCGTGAAGATTTGCCTTTTGAATGATCAGTCTCAGCAGTGCCGGTCTCAGTAGTGCTGGTCTTAGTAGTGCCGGTCCCAGCACTGTCAGCCAGGATGACCATATCCTCAGCCTCCTGGACTGACTTTGGCTTCGAACGCATTAATGCTGCAGTAATCTTGATAAAACGCCAAAATGGCTCGGCAATATTAAAAGTACTACTCTCATGACTCAGGACAATCTTTTTTGTCTTACTGAGAGCCTCTTCCATCCATGGCTTCTGTTCTGCTCGCCTCGGGCTTGTACTGGGGCTTCGGCTGGGGCTGGGCGAAGTCTCCTCTGGCTCGTCTGCCTCTGGCTCGTCTGCCTCTTCCTGTTGGCGTCTTTTTGCTGCTCTTGTTTTTGGCTTATTCTGAGCTTTTCTCTTGTCTAACATGCATCTTTAGTATCAGCTGTAAAAGGCTTTTGCAGATGGTTATAATATATACCAGAGCGTTTTGTTCTGAATAGAGCAGTTCCTCTCCTCTTTCTCCTAATCTGGGAGGGAGAGTGGATACTGACTAGCTAATTCTTTACTATCCAGATTATGGCATCCATTTGGCTTTCTCCGAATCCTCGGCGAGAGAAAATGCTCTCGCGACATGTCACATTATTATTCTTCACATTGTACATAAAGTAGGTAATGTGGTCTTTCTTATTCTAGTCACTTTTATCTACAGTCCGCCTACTGTACTGCTTCTCTCCATGGCTTTCACCTTTGATAATTGCTTCCTGTACAACGGCCAGCCCGACTCCTTGCTTGGTCTGGTTCTTGTTCAGAAGGCAATCAGTCCATAGGTCTATCCAGTAGGGGCGGATGAGATCTGAGGTGAGCCAGTCAATCCAGTCTTGATCACTGAAATGAAGGAGTTGGAGCACCACCTTCTTGCCCCCCTTTAGTATCTCATCCGCGGTCTTCTCTGTTACCTTTTCTGGTAGTATGCTGGGTTGCTCTTCAACATTCATATTTATAGTAAAATAACAGTGTCAGCCTGGTGTGCTCTGTAAAAGGCTTGCAGCTTACCTGTGTTCTAATTAATCAGGTGCCCCCACTCGCTGTCTTGCGATGCATCCTCGCTAGCCATGGTGATTAGTTGAGCAGGGACCACAAAGAACTGGATCAATGACCACAAAGAACTGAATCAATGGCTTGAAATAACAAGTAATAAGTAGAACGAAATAACAGAGACGGCAGAGATAGTCAAAATGACAGATATAATAGAGGAGAAAGAGATGAAAGAGATGAAAGAGATGAAAGAGATGAAAGAGATGAAAGAGATGAAAGAGATGAAAGAGATGAAAGAGATGAAAGAAGATAGAGAAGATGGAAGAGTCAAGTAATGAAGAGCAGGTAGAAATGAAAAAATAAACAAACATCTAGCAAACTAACAGTGAATATCACTTACTTTACTCACACCTTACTATATGACACAGTAAAATTACAGGAACTATGACTGTGAGATATTAGTTAGAAAAGTTTTAGATAATAAGCTCTTTATAATAGAAATATACTTACAAATAAGCTCACAAGCATAATAGAATGGTTCTGAATCCCGAGTACAATAGTTTTGTGATAGGATCTACTTGTCAGGGTAGAAGGCCTGTTGACTAGGTAAGGAATTAACCACTAAACGCAATGGATTTGTCTAATAATGATAAAGGTTGCCTATATCCACGAGATAGACTGATCCTTGAGGGATCAGTAGTCCCCTGCAGAGGGATCAGCACCTTATAGGTGTTGATAAGATGCAGAACCACCATCGATGACCTCACGACTCCCAGGGCTACTATAACACGTCATCCCGATGCTTAAGGCTCCGACAGCTGGGTTATTCTATCACAAATGGCGTCCTCCTTCACTGGGGCGAGCCACCTGGTTCGGGTATTGGGGATAACCTCATGTGTTCCCGATTCGGAACAGTGGGGGATCTATAGTGGAAAGTGGGGGCACCAGAGGTGCACGGCCGGGATGGCATCACGTGATAATTCTGTATAGCATCATCGGTGTTGTATATGTTTGCTGTTGTTGGATGGTTTGTAAGGGTGCAGAGTTTTTATAATATATTGAGATGTAAATATGATGTCTTTGTTGTGTGTTCTTTCTTTCTTCTACAGCTTCCTTCTTAGCATCTAAGCGTGCGGTCTTCTTTGCTGTTTCTTCTTTTTTTTTGGTTGCGTTTAGTTCTCTATCCCGCATTGTCTTCAATATCTTATTGTTGGACATCAGTCTCGTTCTTGATTACTTCGCGATGGTCAAGGGAAAAGGGCGTCCCAAGCGGGATGTTCCCATCAAAGCTTGCTATAACTTTTGTATGTACTGTTTGAGACATGTGAATTACTACTTTAATCCTAAGGAGGACGCTCTATATGATATCAGTTGTCTGCTAGATGCAAAGGCATCTGTTCTGTGTTGCTTCTGTTCCGAAGGGAGGAAGACTTGTGATCCAGTGGGTTTTGCATACTTTGTATTATGTATGTACGATTTGCTGACACCTGTCGAGCCTGTGACTGGCCTTTTAGGAAACGCTCGCGATCTTGTTGAGATTATTGAATGGGCTGTTGTTGTCTTGGATGAAGAACATTGGAATGGTGATGTAAAGCAGACCATTCGTGAAGAGGTCTATATTCTTGTGAAGGTGTTTGATAGTGTGGAAGGCGCTTATACTTGTGAATTCTTGTTGAAGGGTACTAAAACCGCGAAGCGTGTAAGTCCTCGTTATAACCAAGGGGTGTGGTCTTCGTGGCCCTATTGTTGATGTTTTGTTAGGAGTTTACCGCTGAGTACACTAAGTTTATTGAGACTTGTTGTACTCTATTGGCCCAGTCAGTTCCCTATTCTGGTCTCCGCGCCTCTCTTGAGGATCGTCATGCCTATGAGGCGGAAACGCTGTTGTGTTTGCTGCCGGGTGATCCCGGATATGTGGGCTGGGTTTTTGCTCTGCAGAACTTTCTTGATTCTGTGAAAGCTATGGTGTGTATTCAGTACTTGGATATTAATAGTTCGGAGGCAGCTTCGGATGATGAGGATAGTATTATTGGATTGGTAACAGATCCCCATGTTCTCTTTCTTGAGTTGATTTTTCTGGTTAACATCCCCGAGTTGTAAAAAGGGGCCTGGTTATTGTTGTTGTTTGGCTCATGAACAGGTAATGGATATGACTAGATATGTTTGGACGTCTCCTGCCGCCTTGTAACAGGACAATTTGTATTTATTAGTGTATTTGGTCTGTAATAATGTAATTGATAAGTAATATTAACGGGTTGACGTTTTTATAGCCTATCCTTAGAGAGTGTAGAGTGATTTATTAGTGGTTATCTTCCGTTTCTTTGACACATGGCGTTTTTTATGGGATTTCTAATATTATTTTATGGCTTCGAGTGCATTCTCCATGTTTTCGCTAGAGATTTATTAGTTGTATTCGCTTGGCCATTCTTTCTATTTGATCAGGTAGTGGTCTTGGCCGTTATAATATTGGTAGTCTTTGATTTCTTTGACTTTCCATTCATCTTCATTATCTAGCTCTGGCATCGGGAGCGGTTCTTTATGGTCTTGACTAGTATTCCATGGTTCCAGCAAAGAAACATGGAATATATTATGAATTTGTCCATATTTCTCAGGTAGATATAGGCGATACGCTTGGGATTTGATGTGTTTAAGGATCTGAAAGGGTTCTATGAATTTCGGAGCCAACTTTCTTGACTCTTTGAGCTGTAAATTCTGGGTTGATAGTTTTACTAGATCTTTTTCTTTGAAGGAGAATGGTTTTCTGCGCTTGTTATAATGTTTTTTTTGCCTTTCTGTAGCTGTTTGCCATGTTCTTTGTAGCTGTTCTCTTGTTTTACTAAGCTTCTTGATCCTATCCTGTACGGCTGGGACCTCTTGCTCTTGAGAATTGTTCTCGATTCTGAGATGAAAGTCTGGCGAATAGTTATATAGAATATTGTGAGGAGCTAGGCCCGTGGTTGTATTATTTACATTATTATAAGTAAATTAAGCAGTTGGTAATATAGCGGGCCAGTTAGTATTGAATTGGGTGGAATAGCATTGAAGATAATATTCTAGAGTCTGGTTTATCTGTTCTGTTTAGCTATTGGTTTGAGGGTGGAACACTGTCGAGAGCTTCAAGGTTATATAGGTGTTATAGGCCAAATTTAACTAGAATTTACTTGTAAAGATTGATTCTTGATCAGATACAATGCCTGTTGGGGTCTGAAGACTAATTTAATCTGTTCATGGAATAGTTTGGTGAGATCTGGAGCAGTTATTATTAACGGAATAGCAAAGAAAAGGCAGTATTTTAAGAATTGATCAATGACAACGAGGATGGCATTAACAGTTTTTTTACATTGGATAACCGGAGGTAGTCCTGTAATGAAGTCCATTATTAATTTGGTAAAGGGATGGGATGGAATCAGTAGTGATTCAAGGCTGCTATATGGTTGATGCTTTGGAGCAGTATTATCTTGATATATTAAGCAAGTTCAGACATATTCAGCTATATTGTAATGTAGTCTATTCTAATAGAACTTTCTTTGTAGCAGTGCTTCTGTTTATGTCTTTCTGAAGTATTCTGCTAACGGATTGTCATGATATAGATAAATAAGTATTTGGCGTAATGTCTCTGAGGATGGAATGTAATAGTGGTCTTTAAAATATAAATGACCTGTAGTTTTGATTATCCAGTGCTTTTGGCCTGGTTATCTTTGCTGAACAGCAGTTTTTTACTATAGTGTCTCTGGATTTTTGTTCTGTAAATGTAAGATTATCTCTTGGAGCTTGGAATTATATGTATTTGAGTACGGAACTTCTGCGGTATATATCTGTGATACTGTAGATTGGGGAATGAATCTCTCCTGAGATAAGTTCTTCCAAGCAGCTTAGTCAGTTGTCTCTATACTGGCTCAACCATTAGGATTCTTTGAGCTCAATGTAATGCGGGTATCAAATCCAGGGTAACCCTGTGTATCTTGAGGTTTGAACTGGGATTTCTCTTTAATTAAGTCCTTTATTATCAGGGATGATACATCCATGAATTGCTCTTGAATCGGGGTTAATAATTCTTCTTGTAAAGCGGGTTCTATTTGGGATTCTGAAGGTATTCTAGAGGGTTTATCTGCTGGATTTAACTTTTCTGTTCTATGTTTAATGATGAAATTATAAGAAATCAGGCTTATAAGCTAATAAGCTTGTCTCCTGTTAATCCTGGTTTGATGTATGAAGGATTGTAAGTTTAAATAGTCAGATAAGACTTTAATTATCTGGAGAGCACCTTCGAAATACTGTTGCTACTGTTTAAAGGAATAAATAATGGTGAATAGTTCTTGATCTGGAGTACTATAGTTTAGTTCAGTGTCGGAGAATGTATGAGACTAGAAGATAACTAGATGGAATATACTCTTATTATCAGGTTGGGATAGGATGCCACTCAACCCTTCCTTTGATGCATTGGTTTCTAAATGTCGGGGTTTTGTAAGATTGAAGTGTATTAGTAGAGGTGCTTGCTGAAAGGTAGTGATTAGATAGTAAAAGACAAGGCGCTCATGTATATTTAGGCAGAGTTTCCCGGGTTTTTGACTGTTAACTGCTCCATGAAGTAGGGAGGTAAGAGGTAAGATAATTTGTGAATAGTCTTGAATAAATTGACAGTAGAAGTTACAGAATTCTAGAAAGATCTGGATATCATGGTAATTTTCGGGGATTAGCTATGAAATAATATTGCTTACCTGTCGAGGATCCATAGATACTCCATCGGCATTGATGATATATTCTAGGAATTTGACTTGGGATTGATAAAATGAACACTTAGATGGCTTTGCATAGAGTTGAGCTTCTTGTAGTCTTTCTAATACTTGAATGTGTCTTGTATAAGATTCTTTATTTAGTGAGAAGATAAGGATATTATCTAGATATATTATATAAAAGTCATTAAGGAGCCCACGAAGTGCTGTATGCATATAGTTTTGGAATATTATAGGGGTATTAGTTAGCCCGAATAGCATGATAGTATATTCAAAGTGGCTGTATTGAGTGTGAAATACTGTCTTTTATTTATTATTTTTCTTAATACAGATTTGGTAGTAAGCATCTTTGACATTGATTTTTAAGAAATATTTACTGCCTGAGACTCTATCAAGAATCTCTGAAATGAGAGATAAAGGGTAATAATTTTTAACAGAAATCTTGTTAAGACCCCTGTAGTCTACGCAAAGGCGTAAACTACTATCTTTCTTGGGTATAAAGAGGATAGGAGCCCCTGCAGGACTTTTTGAAGATTGGATTTAGCCTAGTTTCAAGTTTTTTTTTGATATATTCTCGTAGGATCTTAAGTTCAGCTTTTAATAGAGGGTATATAGGGCCATAAGGAGATGTTTTGTCAGGTTTAATATTAATAGCATGGTCCGCAGGGCCATGAGAAGGAAGTTATTGGAAGGAATCTATAGAGAATATATCTTAGAATCCTTGAAGCTTGATTGGGATTGTCTCTGAATTTAGAGATGAATCGGGAGATCTTTCCTCCGGTAACTAAATATCTTCAGGGAGCTTGATGATGGTATATATTTTTGCTGAGTTCCGGGTTGCTTTATTAAATTAGATGGTAGAAAGAAGAGAAATAAATAGTATACTGAACCACCATTATTGATTCCATGTTGATAGGTTAATGTAGAGGTCTTGAAGCATAGTTATTAATAACAGGATTAAGCTGCCCTCTAAGTAAGGATCTCAGTCAATCCCTATATAGTACTGTTTGAAAGTACGGGTGCTACCGTGCTCCCCTGTGAATTGGTAGCAGTAATGGAGACTTTCCATATACTGTAAATGGAAGTAGTGATTTGGTTAATAGCTTTAATTCTAGATGCAGTGACTGGGGCATGTTGGAGATTGTGAGTCTTAGTAAATTAATAGCTGATAATATCCACTTTAGCGCAACTATCTAAGTCCGCAAAGGTTTCGAGACTGTTTTGAATATGGATAGGAACATGAAAATGATGAGTAGTTCTTACTATAGATAAAGAAGTTGAAATTATAGGACTTATTCTAATTTCTTTACTTTTCTCTCGGAATCCGATGAATATTAGTAGGATTTAGCGGATTGAATCTTCTTGCTTTTAGTAGAATATTGATTTACAAGATGCTGGGTACTATTATATATAAAGTATTATAATTAATTACCATCCCTTCTGGTAGAGTTTTTCTTACGGTTCGATGCATCTTCTTTAGTTAGTCTGTTAGAATAACCTTGGAGGTGCTTATATGGTTTATAGCTGCTGGGTTGGTTATTATTTTACTTGTATTTTTATTTATTACTCTATAGTTTATAGTAATAGATAGTAATGGATATTATCTTATCCTGTTCTTCCGGTAAATAGGGGACATGTTCTTGAATATAATAATTAAGATCAGGTAATAATTTAATAAAGTATAATAAAGTCCTTTCTTTCTCTGCCTGATAAGGAAAGTATTGCTTTAAAGTATTAAGATAAGCATAAAACTCTCTCAGGTCTTGACTGTATTGCTGGTAAGCCCGTTTAAGTTGAGCCATGGTATCTGATTAAAGGGTAGCAGTATTCTGGATCAGGGTAAGGATCTAATTCTTGAATTAAGACCATGATTTCTTGAGGAATTGTCTTGCTTCCGGGCTCTTATTATTAATGAAATAATACCATCTCTGCCTGCACGCAGGGTCCATATAACTGATAGTAGTAAGAATCTTGTGTTCTTCTGATAAACACTTCTTAGAAGCCTTTTGAAATATAT